TATGTCAATTTCACAATATTTAAAAAAAGAATGGCTTTGAACGGTTGTTTCTATTGGTAGCAATGGTCACCATCATTAAAAAAATGTTTCATCTTTTATTTATTTATTTTTAATTTAATCATTTGAGGCAAGTAAACGCTTAACAGAAAGAAATAGATCCAGGTCTATCCTTTATATTCAAAGGGTGTCTAGTATCTGAGGAATGTCCTGCTGTTTTCCCAGAATGGAGATTCAGGCTATAGCCTGTCAGGAGCTTCAAACAGGAGCAAAGACAGAAACAGTACGGCTAGTGGCACCCATGGTATCTCCTCTGAACACAGCAGAAGTACAAACAAGTAGACACTCTTGGGCTAATGCTTTGTCTTCAGTGGGGAGCTGGGGTGTTAGATAACACCTCGCTTTTCACACAGGTACAAAACAGATGAGCCTGTTGTTAAGACCTGTCATTCATTTGTTTTTGTCAGCAGAAAAAAAGGCAATGTGGGGATAGCTAACCCATTTGACTGTCTTCAAATATGAAGGGTGAATTTATTCATTCTCCTTTAAGCACTGCTTTGGGATTAGGCAATATTTGATAATGGCATAGCTGGAGTGCTTATCAAGATATGTAATCAATTCTAAGTTTTCATCCTAGGGTTATGTTGACCCATATTTGTGCATAATTGTTTGACATTATAGCAAAATGCAGTTTTTCGAAAATTCCCCTCAGCAGGGAGGGAGAAGGAAAACAAAAGGAGATGATAAAGATTTAGAAATAAACAAAAGCATGAACTCACACACTGAATTATAGCTTCAACAATAGGCTTTTTTGCAGACTGTAATTATGCTTTTCCGGAAATGGAAAAAGTACTAACAGTCACCTTTAAAAACCCATTGTAAAAAGAAGGTTTTGAAAGAAACACTGATTTCCTTCCTTGCCTTTAGTCTGCTTGGCCTCCTCACATGGTTGACGGGGCATAAGGAGGAGGAGGAGGAGAAGAGAGGGCATCTGACTGGGCGCTGTTGCAGTCCATCGACTGTTTTCTTCAGAGAGAAAGGTCAGAGGATACAGTACGGTGGGACACCTGCTGAAGGTAATCATTAATACGCCCGCTGTCCTGTCAGCAGCCCCCGGCTTTACCAGATGTGTACTACTGAAAAGAGGCAAATGTGGCATGAGGGTCTGTCCACACATCATTATGATGCTGGCTGTCTCAAGCATACATGTAGCAATGCTGATGTGTGATTTAGGACACAAGAAACAAGACTGACTGTGCTAACTGGAATATTCTGACTGCTGTTGGATACATGTGCGACCTGTCTGACTGAGAAACTGGATGCCACAGAGCTTCTTCTCTACCCAGTCACGTCTCCAAATTAAAGGTTACCAAGACAACCCTCTCTCATACAGTAGACGACTACCAAGGACAATGCTAATGGTTGAAACCAGCTTCTGTTGCTGTTCTAGCAGTCTGGCAGGCAGCTGCAATTCTAAAGCAGTAATACTGTCGTGCTGTGTGGATTATTATATGTTCACGGTTTGTACCTTACAAAACTTGAAACTCAAATGAGGTTTTTTTGTTTGATGAATGTACGTGTGTTTTGGATATAAAAATGCAGATTGTCAGGAAAAGATCCACGATCCTGTTTCTGGCATTGTGGTCCCGACCTCTTCTCCCTTGTCCTCCTGTCTCTACTCGCAAAATGTCAATTGCAACTTCATGCAAATAAGTCTCCCGTCCTGCAGAGGAGAAAAGGTGGGAAACCAAATTGGATCGAATGTAATTCAGTTCACCAAGCAGGGAATGAATCGATAATGCTGAGGAATGACTTTCGAAGGACTGAGTGCCCACCTTAGTGGTAAGAGGTTTCTTCTGTTTACAGCGCAACCTGGGCCTGCATGCTTATGTATTTTTTACGACAGGTTAATCAAGAATCACAGTATCCACTGCTTCTTTCCTGACGTCTCTTCTTGTGATGTTCACCGTGCAGCACTTCAGAAAATGTCCTGCCCGGTTACATTCTCAATGTGATAGGCCTGCTTGAATGGTTTTCCATTTGACTGTGTATTTGCATTCTCATCTTTCTGTAATGTATGGTATTCACAGAATATAGCTGAGCTGACAAAATTGGTATTGTTTTGTATTTGCTCTCCAGTCCATCAAGCTACTTACAAGGTACAGTGTTTGTACACACATACAGTATCCTGCACATGCACTCAAAAGGAACATTTCCTGAAGCAGTTGCTTTCTTTCACTGTTTTTGGTAGTATGAGACATACATACATACAAATTATTACACTCATATACTGAATGACTTCATCCTTATTTGTTTCTCTTTATTTGTTCGGAATTAAACACTGACAAATAACTGGGTAATGCCTAATTGTCATATTACCAGATAATTAGGAATACATATTTAAGCTGTTCTAATCGTACTAGTATTTCAATTCTAAGATTTAGTTGTAATTATGCAGTATTTGTTAGTGCAAAAATGTAATTACCCCTGTTGCAACAATGAAAAGCACTCTCGGACACCAGTGATCTGGAGGGGCCTTGGAGTCAAGCGATTGCTGAGACAGGAAAGGTTGTTTGGGTATACGATGCTGATAAATAAAATCAAGAATTTCAGGCTCAAGCAAGTGTAAGGACACCGCGGAAAAGCAAGTGCTGGTTTGAGAGCACTTAGAGATTCCATTGAAGGGGTTGAAAAAAGGACATACAGAAAATGCATGAAGTACCCAAGGCTTTATTAAGGTGGCTTCCTAGTAAAGGGGTTTGGTGGCATCTGCGCCAGTAGAAACCCTGGGGAAACAGTGAAAATTTTCTGTCTTTTTATTTATTATCTCACCTGAAAGAATAAGCTAGACGAATGTTAGTGAGAAGTAAAAATGCTTGAAACAGCCATACCAAACTTGCTATAACTATTCTGCATATAATTGCCCCCAAAGGGAAGGATAAAGTTTTGTTGAATTGAACCGAAAATCTCATTCTGTTTTCAGAAGTTTGATTGGTATTCAAGATGATTTGCAATGCTACCCCTCCACCACTGAAGTGCTGAACTCTGCTCTGCTCTGCAGAAAATGAGCAGAACTTGATCTTTTTTCTTTTTTTTCATTTACTGCCATCAAACACTGGATTATTCTGCAAGATGAGCTCTAAAGACTTTCATTATTTTCCCAATTAATTCAGGTTTTTAACGAATTGTAATTCTATAGTTGCACTGCATTGTTGTGCTGGTATTTATATGCTCATGTTTGCTTGTAGTTGAGTCTGTATAGTTAGTTATAGTGTGATAGACTATGTAATGGGTGTTTAATGATTGTTCTGTGTAGTCTACCTGCCCAGGGACTGCAGATGAAAATTAACTAATAGATAATCTCACATAATTCATCTCTTCTCATCTGAGGTTGATGCTTTTTAGTGCATGGTCCTTGTTTAATAAACACCCTAGTAAGACACTTTATGTCATTTATTTTTCTTCGCCTAGTGAAAAGAGAAATATGTGAAAATCCCCAAACCAACTGTTTCTGCCATATCCGACACAGGCATCATACAACTATTCTAAGAGCACATGGCTTGTGTGATCCAATGTTTTGTTCAATAAGAGCATCATTCACTCTGAATAAAGCATGTGTGCTCAGTTAGGTGGCTATGAGTGCTGGGTCTCATTGCATAGTGTAAACTTTTGTGTAGACTCTCTAGTTTGCCATGCCAGCTACCAGGCAAAGCTTTGGAAAGCACGTATCCATTAGCAGACCATTAGCATTTTGTTTGAACAGTTCCTGGCTGTGTCTCCCTCTGCTTGATTTAGGAGGGCAGAGAGAGCAGAAGAGAGAAAAGCAGTCAAATAGACAGGGTGATGTACTGAGTGAGGGGAGAGAGAGAGAAAGAGGAGGGGGGGGGACACACAAAAATCAGCTTTTCATCTCATGACAGCCACATCTCAAAGAGAAAGAGGGGCATGGCAAAGCCAAGGGAAAGGGAGAGCTGAAAGATGCAAAGTGAGGGTTACAAAGACGTGGAATATTGCTGAAGGGATCAAGAGAGAGAGGTAGTGGAAGGTGGGCTGCAAAAAAAGTGAAGGGAAGCAGGGCAGAGTGACGGAGGCAAAAAGACATCGAGGCATAGGAACAGAAGGAGAGGAAGGTAGCTACAACCTGATACAGATTAAGAATGATTGGCGGAGGAGATGTGTAATTAAAGTTCCATTAAGCGATATTAACATTAAATAAATGTCTCTGTAATGAAACTTTCTCTAATGTGGAAAGGTTGCTTGTGGGCGACTGCCAAACCCACAGAGTATCAACACATAGCAGCTTGTAGCTAATTGTTTGGGTTCAGACTGCATGGTTGTTCCCTATTGGCTTCTATCGACCCTCTATATACTGTCTGGCACCCATATCCAGCAAACAAGCCCAGACATCTTGGGTTTATGCTACCTGCCCGTTGTGAAATGAAAGAGTAAAACACCCATAGATTTTTTTCCCATGAGTTGGTGGACCACACCAGAACTTAAAGTTAAGTGGAAAAGACTACAAAGTGATGCCAGATGGATTGCTGTTTCTGTTGAATGTGTTATATTTTTGTTGTTCTAAGCCATGTGACCTTGAAAAGCCTGAACTATACTGGGGCAAAGTTGCTGTGACAGTGTTTTGAAGTCTTTCCCTCCTCAAAAATTAATAGAAATAGAACAAGCTGAAAAAAAGTCACACCCAAGATTCCTTTTTTTTTTTGACTGCGCCATTATATGAAATGAAAAATTCAAATGCTTGAGCATAATTCATATACAATTACCTTATAATTTTGCCCCAGGCTTGATTTTTTTTTTAGAACTACATGACCTTGACTGAATAAGTTATGTAGGTCTGAACAATGCTTGGCCACTCAATGTGCAATTTGTAATATTGAATTGAATGCAGTTTAAGAGGTAAACTTGATAAATCTGCCAATGTCGCCGTGGACAGCTCTATGCACTTGGAAAGCATTCATAACAGACGTAAAGACAGATCTACCAAGTGACTCATGTCACCATACCCAGGGACGGATGTGTTGCCCAGAGCTACCCTGTCTGCTGTCCTTCTCTTCGTCCATTGAGAGGCATCCATGACAAACAAGCATGTCATACTCCGTGGCTGGGACTGGCTAGTCGCCCTGCTTTCATGTATCCAAGCTCAAAGCTGAGGCGAAAAAGGGATGAAGAAAAAGTTAGACAGAAAGCAAGGGAGAGAAAGACACATAGTAGGGTGAAGGGTAGAAAACAAACGACACTCAAGTTCACTGGGCTACAGTGCTCACAAAACAATGAATTGGAAATTAATGGGTTGGTCATCCACTTAATCTGAAGCAATTGGCAGCGGCCACCAGAGACTCTGAGCACAATTAGAACTAGTTTTAGGGCACTGGTTTTCTGATAGATGGATACTTAGAAGCCCTATACCTCCTGAATAAGAAACCCCGGGCAGTGTCTGGGGATGTTACATCAATGCTACTCACGTAACATGCAGAAAATAGAGGGGGTGACTGGCAGTAGGGGGGAGCCGAGCTATTTGGAGTAAATCCACTGATGTACAATGCACTGAGTGCACATAAGCAGCAGGGGCAAAAAGGAAGGCACACAAAGAATGCAGACGCAATACCAATGCAGGTACATAGCTGCAGGAAATATAGATATTTATTCAGAGAAAAGTATGCTCACCTTGGACAGTTGTTGATTTTGTAGATTTTCGTAGAGAAACAAAGTTAATTAACCTTTGCAGGAAACAACACAGCATCCCAGGTTCCTCTAGATACCTATCCATTTTTGCTTCAGGGTTTTTTTCACCACATTTCCCTGCAGAACATATATTGTTCAGAAATATGCAGGTCATTTTGAGGCACTGCACCTTTGCGATATAACCACAGATATTCAGTAGCTGATATTCAAGTCTGGAGACTGTGAAGGCTAATGCAAGACCTCAATATCTTGCATCTGTAAGTAGTTCATGGTTCATTCTTATGTGGATCTTTAACTGTAAAATTCAACCTTTTTTCACAACAATCTTCTTCACAGACTCTGGAATAACATGTTTGCTGGATCTGTTGATACATAAAGA